AATTCCGAACCTGACCTTATGTTACTTGCCTTGTGGTCGACGACACCCATTTAATATAAAGATATATGTTTCCTTACTCGGTACTGGTCAGCTCAGAAGATCTCCACACACCGTATAATATACACCGAATGCAAATATGGCGTCCAATTTGAATTGCCATTGTTCTGGACTGACTAGCCTCTCACACATGTAATAATCCTTTTGTGTTTCCATGTGAAGACGAGGCTAGTCAGTCCAGAACAATGGCGATTCAAATTGGACGCCATATTTGCATTCGGTGTATGATCTATCAGATCAAAGCCCTTTCGGAAGTCCGCAAAGAAGAACCCAAGCCAGCAGTTCCCACATTCCAGCGCCTCAAGGGCGAGGTGAAGAAGGTAACAAATTGCTTGGATAGAACCCAAATAGATATCTTTCGATTCCTTATTTCAATAAAACTTGGTGAGGATCTAAAAGTTGGCTTCTCACTTCTTGAAACAGCAAAAAATTCGAAGTGTTTGGGAAAAAGCGTTTTAAGTCAGGTATTGTGGTAAGTACCATGTTTGATAACTTGTATGCTGTATTACCTCTCCTCTTTCATATCGATTTTCAGTGCTATTTTCAAGTCTTTGTTTATAGTTATGCCTCTAAAAAGAATATTACGAGGTGAATTGCTTACTTAGGCATCGTTTATTTTAATGATAATTAAAGCATAGTGCATATTTCCTAGTGTTTGTAAATAGTTATTCCTTTACTAAGAATATTACTTTGGAATTGTTTTAGGGATAATTAAAGGAAGTATATAATTTTATCATTATTCCCATATCACGGCGAGAAAATTAATAAGAGGTGTTATATGTGACTGAAATGTTACGGCCGATTGAAACGGCAATACATCTTCAGTGTCATCTGTCATCTTATTTGAGTCAGGAGATGATTATTGGCGTATGACTAATGAAACCAATTCATGAGAATGAAATATAGCATTCCTCACGAACTATATTTAAATTGCTAGTGTGAGGTGAAAAATTCTAACTTAATGTACTCAAGAAAAAAAATTAAATAAAAATCATCTTCTGAGTACATAAAGTTAGAATTTTTCACCTCACACTGGCAATTTAAATATAGTTCGTGAGGAATGCTATATTTCATTCTCATGAATTGGTTTCATTAGTCATACGCCAATAATTGGGACACCAAACAAGACACATTCAATCTCAAGTTAGACAGAACACATTTCCCCTAAAAATTGTCAAAGCAGCATCTCATTTATTCTACAAAATTATCAAACAGATTTTATGTTTCTTACTGCTGACTCAGTAATAGATTACAGAAGCTGGAGATCAAACTGAAGTAAGAGAGAAACAGTAACTATTTTGTAGTCAGTAGTGGTTTTGAATGAATGGAGTCAGGGCAACTTGGAACCGCCTTCTTATCAAATAGTAATAAATAATTACATTTTGGTGCTAGCTGTTTAGACTTGCAAATATTTTTGCAAGATCTTCATCCACAACAGGCTCTGTTAGCCTTGTTTTCAATGACAATACTATATGTCTTCAAGCTAAGTGACGGACACAACATTTAAGTTTAGCCTTTCAGTTCACATTATTTTCTCTCATCAGCCTCTCGATATCCCCGTGATTAGGTCAGAAGTTGAAGTGCCAATAAACGTTTTTCCATTGTAAAAGCGTTCATTACATTTGTATAGAATTATTTTGTACAAACAAGTCAAGAAGCAACGAAGCTACATCTCACTGGAAAATCCCGGCCCCAACTGGAATAACATACCATAGCTCGACTGGAGCACAATCAACGTATCTGGTTCGTACAAAAATGAAACTCATTGAGCGAGCAATTTTGATTTGAAGTGGAGGTATTTCCCTTTAATTCACATCGATAGGTATTGCCCGACGGGAAAAGATTTCTCAGCTGTTTCGATCTAAAAACGGGCACAGATATCGAACCGTATGGACAAAAACCGGATATGGATTCAGACTTAGTCAAAGGAACCTGTAAACGTATTTATCTTTTCATTTGCAAACGAGTGATAGAGAAAGAGAAGTAAATGAAATTTCTCGTTTTAGTATCATTTTTGGATGACTTTCACCAATTATTGACTTTGATACTGCTCCCTTACTTTATTGTACTTCAACAATGCATATAAATTCGCAAATCAAAGACACACCCAAAAAAACTCAAAGGAATCGAGGGTTACAATATGCTAGTGGTTCTTAAAGTTGTCTTCCTCCCAAAAAGCTTCTCTTCTTTACGGGGGGTCTATAATGCTGCTTTGATGAAATTATAATCCACAAAATATTTTTAAAACTAGCCGCTTCTTTAGTACTCACTTCCACCACCACACACCTATTATCACAATAAAGACGAGATAGTTAGATATCGATGATAACTTGGTTATGCCGGAGTTTCTTTGTAGACTTAATCAGTAAATAGTGTAAATATCCCTTCTCGATACAGATACGCGAGTTAGTCTTCTTCATCCCCACTCTCCGTTTTCTGTTGGAGATGTTTTCGCAGAAAGTGTAAAATCTTTTGCCAGGAGTCTTCTTGTGCCCAGGCATGTGCACCAGTCTCCCCTCCCCACGCTGCATAAGAGTCACCACCGAATTCTTTAGAAGATCTGTTGAAAGAGGAATCACAAAGAGGAGAATAAGGTGGCTCTATGATATGTCCAGCTTGAGGATAAAGCAGATTAATGCACAAATGTTCTTTTCCATTCTCCTTCAAGCGATCAAAAATGAAATTTGCCGCAAATTCAGCGGGGATGTTTAAGTCGTCAGTTCCAGAAACCAGCATCACTGGGCAATTGATGTTCTCAACTGGTGTTATGGCTGAGTATTTGGAGACTGTTGGATTCATGTAATCGAGGTCAGTTGAAAAAGCGAAACGCCAGATGCTACCTTTCTCTGAAGACTGCACTCTACTATCGTTAGGGGGGATCACGTCAGAGACTCTCCCTTTGAATTGAAAAGGGTGACGGTAGGCGATTACCAGAGGTGAAATAGCAACAATGGCCTTTATTGCTGCGATCTGATAGCTTGCCATCAACAGCGCGATCCATGACCCATAGCAAATGCTATGCATACCTATACCATGTGAAAGCACTTCAGGGTGACTCACAAGCCAGTTAGCAGCATCTTCAAAGTAATCCAAGTTTATCGAAGATGGGGACAATGGTTGATCTTCATAACCGATGTAGGCTAACGCAAGAGTAGCGAATCCATGAGATGCCAACAGTGAAGCCTTATATTCCACTAATCCGCGTTCACCACCAAACAGATCTATCACTCCTGCAAAGGTATTATTGAATTTACAATCCAGAGGAAATGGGAGATATTGACGCTGAACAAATTTTAGAGCTAAATTTTTTCACACTAAAAATTAAACTAATGGCTTTTAAAATTCTGTTGTCTATCCTACGAGTGAATCCCTTCAATATAAGGAACACAAGAGAGCTGAAAGACGATCCTATTTTAAATGCTTCCAGTTTTTTCATGCAAGATTGATTCAAGTCATGTGTCAACAACTCATCTAGTTGTAAAAAAGCGCAAGTGATAGTTAATCAAGCAATAATTTCTAGAAGTTTGGGGCTGAAGGTTAGAGTGCAGACGCTTGTGCCGAAGTTCTTATTAACTTTAGACTTTACCTCGTTCGCAGAGCCTCGACTCACTCAGCCTCTATGCAAACTACAAGGATACAAATTGACGTCAAAATGCCGAAACACCGTTTGAGTTTGAAAGACATTGAAACACGAGGGAAATTTTCGCAGCAAAACAAACCTTTTTTGTAGTGTGCAAGGAATGTTCGCACGGCTTCTAAAACAAGCATTCTATTTTAGACCTTTGATTCTTTTTAAAATCTTTATACACCCATTTCGTTGGGTTGGATAATGTCATACGACGTCAACGATAGTTCATTGCTAGCGAGCCCAAGCGAGGCAGCAGCCTATTCTTTACAATTGCGCGAAAAAACCAAAATTTGTCGGATGTAAGATCGGAGACATGCGCAGTCGATTACGTTTTTTACATCCGGGGTGCTAGTTATGATATCGTGAGAGATATTTCTGTGTTTGGCTGCTTTTGCCGATTCGCGAATGAAGATGCCAAGATATCGATCAAGTCCTACGTCATGCATTCAGCAGCATTGAAGCGTTAGGCAAAAGTGCTCTGTCACGAAGCCAGGAGAAGATTCTTATTTTCCACTTTATTGGCCTGCGACCTAACTTTACTGGTTTCTTAAGCTTCTTAAAAACCTTCTTTGCAGTAGCCGATTACATCATACTTATTTTAAAACACTATTTTTAGCAGCAAGAACATTCTAGACGCTCATGATGACATATCCTTAATATAACTCGATAGAATGTTCCGGAATATGGAGAATTTTTAGCACAACTTATTAAATAGCGATGCGGTAAATCGATGTTCTTAATTGATTCCTTGATTTCAGGAAACCTCGTTACAGCTTTCATTCGGAGTAAACTGCCGACTGCCGCTTGCTGGTCTCGAGAGAAAGGAGAGAAAGATATAAAGCCAATTCAGCCTGGTGTATGTCGAAAGCGACTCTGGTACCACAGGCAAATTATTCACAGTATTCTTTGCCCCTTGAGGCGTTAACTTTGATCGTTGAGTCAAAATCTCTACTCCTTGAGGTAGATAATTCAAACATTGGGTAACATTTTCCTGTTGAGGTGAACGAAAAACTTGCTAACCTTTCAACAAAATGTGGATCGCTCGTCGAAACTAACCATTCAACTGCAAACTCAAACGACCTTTTGGGGGAAAGATTTCCATATAACCGCATACATTAATTTTACATTCCATTTTTTTACACTCTATGCATAATCAATGTATGGGGTTCTATGGAAATCTTGCCCTGTTTGGGTTTTGAGACAAATTCTGAGACGATTTTAACTGTGGAGAGCATCCCTTCGATCGTTTAGTTCAATTGTTTTTCAACCTTTGAGTCAAAAGAAAACTTCTCGAGTACAACATTAAGTTGTCGTTTGCTCAATGACGTTGAACATTCCTCGAAATGTGTTCGTCTTGTCGGAAGGCGGTTCGCAAGTTTAGAAGGACAAAAGCTTGATTGTGATATTTACAACATAAAACATGGAGAGCGTCGACATGGGTTGATCAATGCGAATGACACCGTTTATCCTTGTATTTCCTTTTGTTCAGCATTGATGAATACTTTCATAACTTAACAGCAATTAAACTTGCAAGTAATCCTCTTTTAAAAAGCTACACCAACCCCTATTATACCGTTTATTTCAAATCGTTATTATCAGCATTTTCTTCAAGCTCTGACGCCAGCACCCACTTTCACATGGAAACTTCTAGTTATAAACTATTACCAGAGGCTACAGCACATCTAAACAATAAACACTTGTGTTAAGGGAGATTTTTTCTGTCTCGCGTCTTTCACCCTAGAGGGTTTATTTTTATTTTTACTTCAAAAGTAACCCCTGCATTGCATAAATAGTTTATCAGAACACAACATTTTTAGATGCTATATTAACTATCCTTTCCAATAGAATGCCAAAGCCGATCAGACAACGTAAGTTCAAATGATGTGCAAACAACACGACGAAATAGGAAATTAGCCATGATGTAAGGGCCTCGTTTCTTTTCATTGATTTTTCCTTAAAACTGTTTTACGTAACTTCATGTTTCCTGTTATTGCATAATGTGAAATTAGCCCTAGGTCTGTGCTACTCTTTTTCAGCGAGAAAGAGAAATTCTCTTATGAGGGTTAAGCCTGTAATTACAAAGAGAATAAAAAATGAGCCTTCCTAGGAGACTGAGACAACTAGGATAGTCTAGGAATACTCTCATTAATGAAAATTTTTTAAACCATTGAAAAAACATCTTACATTTCTTTATTCTTTCAATATCACATGGCAGACAACGTTTGCAGCGCGCAATGAATGAATTAATCTCTGCTGATTTGTTGAAATAGCCGAGCACAAAATATTTTCAAAATTCCAACCTAAAGGATAACAAATAGACGATCCATTCAAAAAGTGATTTGTGGTAAAAACCTAAACGATTTACGTCCAACACCGTCGTCACATTTAAGATATCACGACAATAGATAAACGTCAAGCTTTCGCAACTCACCGGGAAAAGGTCCATCACCTGGTGGAAGAAAAAGAGTCCCACGGATTCTTCCTTCTTTCACAGGAATTCTTTTCACTCCATTCACCATGTACCCCTTCTCAAACGTTTTACTTGATAAAGGCTTGGAAGAGCTTGATTCCTGCGGACTTATGTGACCATCAAAACAGTTCAGGGCGAAATTGTAAGGTTTAGTGACATCAGATTTGATCAGTCGAATTCCTTTTCTCTGACCCGGTGCAGGTATCATGCTCCATAACAGTCCCATGGCTGATACTCCTCTGTAAGATCCACCCACAGACGGATCACGACAAACATCAACCTGGCCGTGTTTATCAGCGATGAAGTGAGCGTGTGACTGAAACACTTGCCCTCTATCTCCAACAACTCGTGCCCCTAGTGTAATCTTCTGCAGGGATTTGAGTCGAAATACCTTTACCTTGGTTATTTGGTCGATGAGTGAGAATTTCGGCCACAAGGTAAGCATCTTCTTAAGGAAAGAATTGCTTGAGATGCTCCGAGTCCACGACCTTAAAATAAAGTGATATCTCTTACATCCTTCTTCTTTACTTTATTCCATTTGGCTTCTCGGCAGGAGTCATTAACATGCAGTGATGTGTTTTCAATCTATTGGCCAAAATTAGACTGCGAATAATCAGTCTCAGCATCCAATTCACATGGAATTGATTTTTTCAGAAGCTTGATTTCTAGTTCGCTTAGACTTTTGAATTTGGATGAAAATCTGTTTACAAGATGACTTACTCTCCCTTGTTCTCTTGACAAACACAAGAGTTAAACAACTGGACATAGATTTGATTTGAATGCGACTTAGACTCAATCTGGCCCGAGCCGCTAGGGGAGAGTATAAATAACCCTGAGGAGGGCTCAAAACGAATTTATGCCCAATGACACAGACTGTATTACTATTATGATCACCTTGAATAAATCTATCAAGTAAATCATATCTTTTCGCTCGCCAAATTCTCAGTTTAACACACAAAATGCGCTCCAAACTGACTATACATGGGAAATGTTGAAAAAGAGGTTTTCAATTTTATATTAAAATAGTGTTGTAAATTGTATTTTTATTCCATGTGAATAAGCCCTCATAAACGTTTGTTATGACTAGATGACTTCACATGACGTCAAAGAGCGTTAAAAAAATCAAATATCTAAAAAATAAAAACCGAAAATTTATGTAATATTACATCATTTCCATCTCACGTTTTATCCCAGGTGGTTTATTCTCGTCTAACATCTTCAATAATAGCTCTTGTACTACGTTTATAGTTTTTATTTTTTTTTTTTTTTGAAAACAGTGGATAATTTTTTAAGAGACATTTACTTGTACCGTCGGTAACTGGAGGTTTCGCCCCGTTTCAAGTTCGCCCCCATCCAACGTGCGAAATTTGCAAGAGGGTATCGCGCTTCATACATTCCTCATACAACACACCTAGTCGGCATATTTCGGACAATATCGACGACAACCTTCCCAAACAAGTGAAAATGGGTGAAATGCAGACTTTCGTGTTCTCGATTTGACGTCACATTACCCGCTAGAGCCATTCCTCATTAAACTCGGTCGTGGGGCAAGGTGGCGGCCGATTTTCCGTATTTTGACTGGGCACAGAAAATTAAAGATTTTAGCAAATTAAAACATTTTTGCACAGAAATACTCCAAAAAATAAGCTTATTTCGTTAAACGGAAAAAAATTTTTTGGTTTTAGGTGCACTTTAATGAGTAATTTCCACTGAAATTGGGGCTGTATCCTTGACCGGAGGGTGAAAAGTACCGACAGTTTCACGGCAAAGTACGCTGGTGGATACTTTTTAAGGGACCACCGGTGCAAAGATGAACTTTTTTCATGTAAAAGGTCTACTACTATCTTGGTAATTTCTTGTAGTTGTTAGTGAAATTGAGTAAGAGACTTCAGAATTGCTATGTTGAAGTGAGCTTAAAATTCGATTTAAAATCCGCCATAAGTAGTATCAAGTCAGCACCACATTATATCTTCTTTGTCTCCCGAATCTTGCTCGACTTCCAATGATTTTGAAGAAAATGCAGTGGGAAGGTATGGGATATAGCGTATCATTCGAACCATGTGTCGAAACTGTTCCATCTGATTAAGCTCGAAGCGCTCGAAGCTCTTCGGGAAAATACGAGGATGTGGAAATCGAGGAAGAAGAGCGAAACCCTCACTTGCAAGATTCAGACTGCTAGGTAACGAAGTCAGGTATGTCTCTGGCTGACACAGTATTTTTCGTTACCCATCGATTTCCGTCGTCTGAACAATTAAAGTTTACGTGGCATCTACTTCGTGTGTGAATGTGAATGTTCATTACAACATTTGTTGCATTTCTGCCATCTGCTCGGTTATTTCAGTTGATCGAGTGAAGTTAAGACTACTTTAAATCATCACTTGATTTAATAAATAAAATCGATCAGACCGCGTATAGTTGTTATTTATTTCTATGCAATGCTGTGTTAAGAAACAGAACTTCAAGAGAATAAATTAAAATTGTGTAAACACGGCTTGTAAAGAGCGATACCACCCTTGAAGAGCGTGTTGGCTGTCTTTAATATATGATGGTAAAGTTTAGTGGTGTTGACTTTAATTTTTAAGCTGCTTGCCCCAAGGATAATCGAATGCTGCCGATCTTCAGCGGATGCCGAGCTTGTCGAAGACTCCTGGCCAAACCAAGAGCATTATGTCGCTTTTAACAAGGACAAAATGCTGCCATTTCTCTCGTCTTTGGGCCTTTCTTTTTCTTTTTCTTTACCCAATTCAAGGACTCCTCTCTAATTTTGAGTTATGTTTTTTATCCATGAGAAAAGGCTTTTCACTAGCAGATAACTTCCATGTGCGCGATGTAAACAAAATAGCAAATTACATGAAATTGCCTCGAATATTCCTCTGGGGGGCTGGCCCAGTGACGAGATTATGACGCCTTCCTGATTTAATAACTTTTATTTGAAAATACGTTTTTCTAAGTAAGTCAGACGCTTTTTGAGAATTTTAATTTTTTGTTTGTAAACGTTAGTTTAAATGTCTAACTTCAATCTAGTCGGGAAAAAAAAAAACGATTTTTTCGGCCACAAAAGGTAGGAAGTAACCTTAAATGAGAATATTGTTTTCCGGCGGAGGCTGAATATTGTTATTTTTCTGCCGATTTCTAGGCTGAAATATTCTAGCTAATATTCTTAGATTGTAGCGCGTAGTCAATGTGACGTTTCTGTTTTGGGATGTGATTGCTAAGGTTACTTCCCACCTTCAGAGGCGAAAAAATTCGTTTTTTCTTTTATTGGACTCGATTGAAGTTAGACATTTTACCTAACGTTTACAAAAAGGARAAAATTTAAAATCTCAAAAAGCGTCTGACTTATTTAGGAAAACGTATTTTTAAAAAAATTGTAATAAATCAGGAGGGTGTCATAATCACGTAAATGGCAAACCCCCTTGGGGAATAATGGTGGCAATTTAATGTCATTTGCATATCTTGTTTACATCGCGCACCTGACAAAATTCACACTAGTAAGTTCTCTGCTGGTTTAAAGTCTTTACTCATCGATAAAAAACAGGAATCAAAATTAGAGAGGAGTCTCTGGGCAAAGAAAAAGAAAAAACAGGTCCAAAGAGGAGAGAAATGACACTATTTTGTCGCTGGCATCCAAATTACGAACAAAGAAGTCGCCATCAAATCTATATTTGCCGCGCTTAAGGTTGAAAACGAAGTTTCCTTTCAATAAGCAAGTACGGATTTGATACAGAACATAGCTAATCGCCTCGAATCGTATGAAATCATTATTAAACCTACCTGAGGAAACTCATTTCAGCGATAAAGGTATTACTTAAGCTGTCTGTCGATTAGCTGCTTTGCTTTTCAGCACTTTCTTCGGCTTTACCTTTTTTGCCGCGGGTTTTTTCTTTGCCAATTTTACTCAACGTTCAACCGAGCGAGATAAAAAACGCGACTACTATGTGATACTTTTCCCGGGAAAATCTTGATTCATCATTGATGCCAGGAGGTCCCGTCTTCCATGGTTCGCGGTTTCAGGAGACGAGATAATCTGTTGGTGTAGCGTTAGTAGTTTTTACAAATCTTTAAGAGCTAAAATCTCGCATTTGATTTTGAGAGAAATACATCCACTTTTAGCGAATTTATAGAGTATGTAGATTTGACCGATATTCGTGAAATTTTCCCGAAAGATTGCAAGGATAAGGACGAGCGAAAGAGTTGCAGGAAATTTTGATATTTGAAATATTTTTCACGTGGTGTCCATTTACGCAACACGTCTTGGATTTTTTACCCTACTCTAACTTTGGATACGGACATCTAGACAACCAATCACAATATCGGAAAAGCTTGACACGCTTGTGTTGATTGATGCCTTGTGAATACGACTGTGCAGCCATTTTGCTCGTACTGCGAGAGCCGATACCCGATAAATTCAATAGGACCCTCGCTCGTTTCACGGCTTAACATAACATAACAACATAAATTTATTCAAGAAGTTACAACGAAAATATGAAAAATACATTCTGAAAAGGGAAAATGGTGAGGTTAGCCCTGTCTAAAAATAATTTCCCTGACTAAAAACATACAAAAGATAAAATTTAATGGCTAAAGATTCAATAATATTCAATAAATATTCAAATAAATTTTAAGTCTACTCTTAAAAACAGACAATGATTTGGCGTGTACAATGTATCCTGGCAAGCCATTCCACTTCCCCACAATGCGAATGAAGAAAGAATATTTGTAACAATTGCAAACCGCTCTTTCCAGGTAAAGTTCATAGTCGTGGTTAGCTCTTGTACGCTTATTGGCAAACACAAAGAAATCTTGGAAAGAGAAAGAGAGGTGATCAATACCAAAAACTATCTTATAATATTAAACCAGAGATAGAGATTCTCTCCCCTTTTCTTAGTAGTGTTTGCCATTTTAGTATATGACGGTGTTCGTGACTCATTTCGCCACGTTTCTTCCTTAAAGCTAGTCACGGAGCTCTTCGTTGAACCTTTTCTAGAGCAGTAATATCCTTAATCAAATACGGACTCCAAACAGGAGCCGCATACTCCAGTATGGGTCTGACCAGTGACTTATAGAGCTGCGAAAACTGGCTATTAGTTCCAATTAGACCCCTTTAGTACCATATTTGCCCTATTTACCGTTGCAGATACATGCATGCCCCAGGACAAAACAGAAGAGGCGGTTACTCCGTAGTCTCCCTCGCAGCCGTTTTTTTTGGATGTCACGCAACTCTCTCCCCAAAAGAACGGCGGTTCTTTTGTGGGAGCGTTGCGTGACATCCAAAAAAAACGGCTGCGAGGGAGACTAGTTACTCCGAGGTCCTTAGTGTTCTCTACCGACCTAAATTGCCCCCCTCCTCCCCAGCGAGTAAATGTGCAAGGAACTGCGCATAACATTCAGTCACTCTAGAAAGAACTTTGATCCAATTAAGGTTAATGATCAGGACTTAGAGTG